TAAACCCTCATCTTCTGCATATTTTGCTTCTCGCAATTTCTTTTGTTCAAGTAATTCCATTGTTTCTTGCTTCTTTTGGTTGGCAAGCATTTGATCATGAAAAGAAAGACTTGGAACATTTTGTGAATGAAGAAATTCTTGAACATGGTGTGCTAACTGTAGCACCATAACCTAAAATAAAACTTGAAATGTTCATTTTTATAAATTCAATGCTTGTATTAAAAATAAGAAATTAAAAATAAGAAATTAAAATTAGAAAATTAGATTAAAAAAAAAAAAAGAAAAGAAAAAAATTACATAAACAAAAACGAAGGGATACAAAGATTAAGAGACTAATTGATTTTTTTTATTGAATTATCAGATGACCTGCAACAACTAATTTCTTTATCAAAAACTTGTGAAGATATTAACTTTTTTTTATAACATTATTTTTTTTTTTGTTAATTCACCTCCTCAAGTCAGAAAAGGCCACTACAGACGAGGAGGCTACTTATTTGTGGTTATAACCCTCTCTCAACTCTATAACTCCAAAACACGAACCTTAACGAACAAGGCCGCTGTGCGGAGAAACAAGTTGAGTGCGGTACTACCAGAGAGGTGGTGGGAATCGAACTGGGAACCACTCGCTTATGAAGCAAGCGCTCTACCACTACACCACTTCTGCATAATGTTTCCATATGGCAATTGCCATAGAAACAAAATAAATAAGACTCTTGAAATATCTAAAGCAATAGTACATACATTAAAAGGGTTAGTTGAATTAGCAAACTATCAGAGGTAAATGATGCAAAAGGAAAGTGGAATATTTGATTCTTTGAACATATTAGAATACTAAACCTATTTTAATAGATGATGTCTAGTCTGATAAACCTATTGTAAAAGACTTTTTAACAGATGCAGTTAAAATAGTTTTAGTATACATTGGCTTCAAATTAAGAAAAAGTTCTTGACACTGATACATATACTATTATATATTAAAGTGAGTATGGTTCTTATCGCCATGACTTAAAGGTAGTTTGACTGACATTTTGTGTCAATTTACTTTCTTTTGTTATGTTTACTTTTACTTTTTACAATTTACATTTTATTGTACTGAATCTGAATTTACTAGTTGATGAAAAGCTATAAATTCTTGTCAAATATTTTTTCTCAAATAATTACACAAAGCTAAACACTCCACTATCTTTAATGGAGCCAGCTCAAAAGAAGCCAGCTTAAAAATTTAAAACAGAGTAATTAGATTAAGATTTATATTTCATTAGTTAGATTTCAGACATGAAAAAGTTTTTTCATGTTTGAAATTCTTTTAAATAAAGTATTTTTTATTGAAATCATTCTTGTTAATTCCTGATTAATAAATTTAAAATAGTTTTTCCTTTCATTATTTTTATTTAGTTAGAAATTAATTAATTTGTTAAACTAGTTTGATAAATATAAAATTAAAAAAAATAAAAAGTTAACAAAATCAGACTCCAGTTTTCAAAACGCATTGCTCAAGTAGTCATGAAATCACAATCCAGATTACATTTCTTTTCTTTTTATACAAATGCTACCATTGTCGCTGTTCAAGCAAGCTACCATCATTTGTTCCATCAACTAAAACTCAATATTGCATGACCTGTCGTTCAACTTTTATTTGCAACTGATTTTATTTTTATTTTATCCTTTTTTTTTTTTTGTTTTGTTTTTTTGGTTTAAAAAACTTTTATAGTTTTTAAACATTAGTGCTTCAAAATTTACCTAAAGTTTTTTTTTAAGTTTTAAAGTTTACCTGGTTTGTATAATTTAAAGTCAACTGCTTCCTTGCCCTATAACTCTTTGCTCTGCTTTCTGTTAACTTCCAACTTAATTATTAGTTGCTTCCAGGCTTAATGTGAGTATAAATATAAAAATTCAAAGAATTTTAAAAGAATTCAAAAAATTCCAGTCTGAATCTGTTAAAGCAGAGCTTTTTTTCAGACCGGAATTTTTGAGTTTGATAACTTGATCTATTTTAATTAACATACAAGTTTAAAATAATTAATTGCATAATTAATTATGTTAATTATGTCAAGTTATGCATTAACATAATTAACTGCATACAAGTTTAAACAGTTGTTTACTTGTAGAGCATTGGTTGAATTTTATAAAAAAACTTTTGTTGCAATTTTTGTTACAATTCACTTTAATCTCTTTAACTCTAAAACACAAACCTTGACAAACAAGGCTGCTGCATGGAGAAAACAAGTTGATAAATACTAACATATGCTTTGCTCTAGAACTAAATGAGGGAGAAGAAATGGGCTCCACATCCTCATAACATTTTCACCTTAAACTTCTCAATACAGTTTTTCTTTACTACTTTAAAAAATAACAACAAAAGCCATATAAATAAAAGAAAAAATAAACAACAATATTAAAATAATACAATAACAAAAATAAACAAAAAAACTGACAACAAAATAACACAATACCAATAACAATAATAAAGAAAATATAATTTAATAATAATATAATAAAACTTGTTTATTTTGTATCATAATATAATAATATAAATAATAATAAAATAAAACTTTGTATATTTCATAATTGAATAGCAGTTTTTCAAAACTGGTTAAGTCAAACTTTTATTGTTTTGAGAAAAACACAAAAAAAAATATTGCCCGGCAAAGATTTTTCTAGAATCTATAATTTTGTAATCGTAAATAAAGATAATAAACAAATTTGATATTGATACTAGCACTGTTAGATTTGTATGATTATTAATAAAAAAATTCAAATGTTAAAAAAATTCAAATGTTGAAAAAACTTAATTTTTGAAAAAATGGACTTGACAAGTTTTAGAAGACCGCTCTTCAATTGAAATTCCTAGACTCTGAAGTCTAGGAATTCCAATTATGAAATATACAAAAAAAAACAATCATCTTTGAGATCTTGTAAATAAATTTAATAAAAAAACTAAAATACAGCAAGCAAAGAATAAAACTGCTATGAAAACTAATATTTTTAAAAATCTATTTTCTGCAAGTTTTCACTTAAAACTCAACATATTTATTACAAAAATATTATATTTATTCATTATGCTTATGATAATCAATTTAGTACCTCACCACACAAACTGAGAGCCATTTTATTAAGATTTCCAAATAGCTGCTTCAAATTTTCATTTGAAATACCTTTTGCATTTTCCAATTTTAAAACAGGAGGACTAAAAAAATGCAAATGTATATATAAAATCAATGCAAATATCAAGTTTTTTTATAAACACAAGAGTTCTTTCATAAAATCTTCAACTGTGCATAAAGATTTTTTTTTACAGTTATCAGGCCTTCGCCTAAGGTAGCGTAACGCCTTATATGACTACGCATATAACACTATGTTTTGACATCTTGCCAACAGCTCTATGCAAGTTTTGATAATTAATGTTTTTTTAAAATGCGTTAAAAAAAATAACAAAGCAAACTTATATTAAAATAAAATCCATAAAGTGAAAAAATAATAAAATCTAAAAACGAATACAAAAATTAAACTAAAAAAATAAAAAAATCTTAAAGATTTTGTATTTTTTTAGTTTAATTTTTGTATTATTTGTATAATTTTTTATTATTTCCGAGACATCTTGTGTTCATATTAAAGAGAATGATGAAAAAAAATGTTTTTTTTTTATTTTTTTAATTTTATTTTTGAAAGAATGAACTTTTGATCTTAAGCTCTCTATTTTATTTTATTTTAGGAAAACAAAAAAACGAAAAGAAAACTTTAAAAAGTTTAATTTCTCTTCATATTCTTTTTGAATTTAATAATAATAAAAATAACAATTACCATAACTTATTAAAAGTTTTAGCAGGATTTAGTTATTTTTAAACTTCAATGATTTTATTGTTTAAAAAAATCAATAGTAGATATAAATTTATTATAATGCTATTTTTTTAATCATTAAATTTTTTATCATTTAATGACTAAAAAGTATATAATATATATTTTAGTCATTAAGTTTACTGTAATTATCTCTTTAATTTAAAAGGCACATATTGAAAATTATCAACTTTTAGTAAAAGTTAAATGAACAGATTGGCTAATGCTTAAATCAAAATTAAAATAAAAATAGTAAATATATTTTTTTATGTTCTTTATTTAAATAGTTTCTGTCTATATAATATTACATATATTATATATAATATATGTAATATTATATAGACAGAAACTATTTAAATAAAAAACTAATTGAATAAAAAAATCTTGAAAATATTTCCCCTTATTTTTCTCTTAATTTTGCTTTTGACTGAGTTATGTCCAAATTTTTTTCCAGTTTTTCTTAATTTTTGTATGAGTGATGCCTAAAAATGTATATATATATAACACAAATATACACCTAAATTTGTATTTATGGTAAACATTTTGGATTTCCTGAAAAACTGAAAGTTTAGAAAAATATCTGGAATTCCGGAAATATCCAGAAAAAGATAATCCCAGTAATAATAATAAAAATAACTAGCTGATTGAACCATAAAAATATGGGTCTGTAAGTCTCTTCCACACCAACCTTTTTTACACTTTTCCCTTATTTATATATTTGGGTGTGCAGTTGAAAGACTAAAATCAAATATCTTGAAAAAAAGAAACTATATTGTGAAACAATGGTATCATTTTATATATGAAATAAAAACTTTTGTTTTTATGTTTTAATTTGTTAATGTTTTAAAAATATTTAAAATGGCATATTTTGCATTTTCATTTTAAAATTTGTTTATGATTAAAAATAGAAAAATTCTTTCATCAGAGTATAATAACTTATAAATTATACTTAATCAGTATTTAATTAAAATAAAGTTTAAAAAACAGACGAGGAGTTTTTAGAACTAGATTTTTCTACATATCCAGAACCTTTCAAGAATATTGTAAAAATTTATAATAGGATGGACATAACAAACCTTGCAAGTGTTTACAGGCTTGGCCATAAAGACATGAAAAACAAGTCTTTTTATGATCATGCAAATAATATCTTGTTTTAACAATTTGACCAGGGTCTTTAATATTTTAAAAATGCATTGAAAAAAATGGGTTTAAGTTAAGTTCAAAATAAATAACTTCAACATGTATTTCTAAAGAACTTTATTTAAATTTTTTAATAAACTATTTATTAAAAAATTTAAATAAAATTATTTAAATAAAGTAAAAAAAAATTTTTTTTTCAAAAATCTTTGCTTCCAACAATGATGCAAGCAACCACTAATTAGTGTTGGAAGTTATTGGAAGAGAAAAGATGAAGATTGAAGAGCAAGATAATGATTGACAGACAACTTAAAAGATTGCAAATTATATGAATCAGAAAAGCAAGATAAAGGAAGCGAATTCCAAAGAACCGATGTTTTCTTGTTAAAAAAAGTTGAAAACAAATCTTATAAATGTCTATACAATTTTTACAAAGTAGTTAAATGTAAATTCTAAACATAAATATAACTAAATGTTAAAAAATTATTTATATTATATTCATAATTATATTTGCAATAAAAACTTTGAAATGTTGTTTATATTATGATACGATATTTTGATTAAACATCAATGATGTGATTAGGCGAAATGTTTTTGAATCAAGTGACAAATTAATTCCGAAGATTGTTTACAATAACTACATTTTATTTAAATTATCAAAGAAAATTTTATATTATATTATTATGGTAGTTTTAATAATTAAATACAATAAATAATTTTATTTTTTAAATAAGTATATTTTTACAAATTTAAATTTTTCAGAAATGTTTCAACAAATAACTTTACCAACGATGTCGACTTTTACCTTTTACGTTTTACAAGACAAGACGTTTTTTAAACTTTAACTTAAATTTTAAGTTGAGAAAAGCATGACTTTTCGCGCAAATTTTTTTCGCTTAGAAGTCATTAATTTTAATTGTTGCAATAAACGTAATCGGTGATTTCTGAATGAAAACGTTGGTGTGAAAATTAAAGTTGCTTAAAATAAAATTAAATTAAATGATAAACTTAATATTAAGTAGTTTTTTACATTGCTTGTAATATACATATATAATATACATATATACTATACATTTAATTTTATTAAAAATAATACATTTTATAATAGTAAAAATTGAACAATATTATTATTATAAATGTTATTCACATTTATAATATATTGTTTAATTTTATTTTTATTGTTCTATTTTATTCAAATTTATAATACATATTGACCTCACTTTAGACATGCCCCAAATTATAATGTATATTTATCCACGTTTGTGTTTTCACTTCAGACTCTCTCTTGTGTCTTCATTTTAGAATACCATGTCTTCTTTTCAGAATTTTTCGTTGAGTTGTTCTTTGAAATTAGGCTTAATTAATTTAATTGTAAAGAAATACAGATACCATCACTAAAATGGAGTTCATTAGTTATAGAATTTCAAAGAACATTGATTTGTCTAAATAAAATTTTAAGTATTCATGTCAACACGGGCAAAAAAAGGTGTAATAAGTATCTGACCGAAATTTCGAAATCCAGCTAAAATTTAGCCGGATTTGCTACATTTTTACCGGAGCCGTATTTGGGTTCGGATTTGTAAAAATGGCCAAATTTCTGCCGGAGCCAGAGCGGAAATTCGGTACAGTCCTAATATATTATTATATATATTATTATATATATTATTATATATATTATTATATATATTATTATATATATTATTATATATATTATTATATATATTATTATATATATTATTATATATATTATTATATATATTATTATATATATTATTATATATATATATTATTATATATATTATTATATATATTATTATATATATTATTATGTTAATTTTGCAAATATTATTAATAAATATAAACGACAACAGTAACATCAACAACAACAAAAACAGCAACTACAACAACAACAACAACAACAACAACAAACTTAATATTTTTTGTAAACCATTTTTACAATAGTATTAGTAACATAGATCGTCTAGGTTATATTTTGAAAATCCAGAAAATTGTTTGGGTAAAATATACGGAAAAAATCTTGAAAATATTTCCCCTTATTTTCCTCTAAATTTTGCTTTTGACTTAGTTATATCCAAATTTTTTTTCAATTTTTCTTAATTTTTGTATGAGTGATGAGTGACAAAGCCTAAAAATGTATATATATTACACAAATATTCACCTAAATTTGTATTTATGGTAAACATTTTGGATTTCCTGAAAAACTGAAAATTGAGAAAAATATCTGGAATTCCGGAAATATCCGGAAAAAGATATATTTGGGTGTGCAATTGAAAGACTAAAATCAAATATCTTGAAAAAAAAAAACTATATTGTGAAACAATGGTATCATTTTATATATGAAATAAAAACTTTTTTTTTTAATTTTTAAATTAAGCGTAGCTACATTTTTTTGTTTTTATGTTTTATTTTGTTAATGTTTTAAAAATATTTAAAATGGCATATTTTGCATTTTTTTATAAAAATTTGTTTATAACTAAAAATAGAAAAATACTTCATCAGAGTATAATAACTTATAAATTTTATTTAATCAGTATTTAATTAAAACTAACTTTAATGGCATCAAAAAAAAAACAAGAAATACATCAGTTACTTACATATGTAAATTTATTGGTAGAGGAAAACAACTTTTACTATCTGAGCTCCCTACTGCAAGGGACATTTTACAATATGGGATTTTTTTGTAGTAATAATTCAAGAATTCAGCATAGATACACTAAAGTATCTTTGGAAACTACAGTTAAAATTAGCTTTGGAAATGTTAAAAAATCAAAAAAGAAGTTCATTTCAAAAATTGACTAACTTGTTGATATTTTATCTTGCAAATGTGAAATAATTTTTAAGTATGGTAGTAACCATGACTGCAAAATGCATGTTAAATGCATGTGTGTATGAGAAAATAAAATTCCAGTATTAGATCAGCTTTATCAAATCACAGAGAAATAAATATGGTAATTTCGCATATTACCATATTGGTAATATGGTAATATGCGAAACAATATACATAAAAAAGTCAACAAAACTAAAAGAAATTATAAAAAGAAGAGAGAACTTATCAAATCTTTGCGAACTAGAGGAGAGAGAAAAGAAACAAAAAATAAAAGAAGAGAAGATCAATCAAAAATTTCAGAAAGATTATAATTTCTTAGAACAATTATTTATAGAATATCTTTGTTATATATGAAGTTATTCAAGTAA